TGCAGGAGATGGTCGGAGACTATGGCGGTGCTGCAGGAGATGGTCGGAGACTATGGCCGTGCTGCAGGAGATGGTCGGAGACTATGGCCGTGCTGCAGGAGATGGTCGGAGACTATGGCCGTGCTGCAGGAGATGGTCGGAGACTATGGCCGTGCTGCAGGAGATGGTCGGAGACTATGGCCGTGCTGCAGGAGATGGTCGGAGACTATGGCCGTGCTGCAGGAGATGGTCGGAGACTATGGCCGTGCTGCAGGAGATGGCCGGAGACTGCAATCATAGGAGTTGTTGGAGACTGGGGACATATTACATGAGGCTGCTAGTGATCAGTGCTATTGCAGCCCCTGTAGAGCGCATTTAATATTTCGTTTAAAAAAAACAAAACACATCAATAATATATAGACTGCACAGGATACAGTTGGGTAGAGTGAAATAAATGAAGCTATTTACCTGCTAGAAGCCAATCTAAGGAATGTTTCCCTTTATTGGCATGAGTAAGCACCAATGCCCCGACTGTCACTACCTTCAGGAGCCTGGGGGGGCTGCACAAGAAGTGCCAAGGGTGGCAGGTTGGGCATCAGGCCCATTTACAGGTCAGGCAGGAAGGACTGGTTCTCTTTAATGTAATCCTGCTCGCAAAAATTCAGTTTTGTATTCTGTTTCTTATTACAGAACGTCCCTGGAGCCCCCACAATGGAAGGTGAAGCGGTGGATGGAGCACCAACTGAGTACCCCATGCATCCTCCCCCAGCAATGAGAGTGCCATTGTTACCCATGGATCCTAGAGCGCCTTTCTTCAGGAGACCTTTCCCCATGCCCCCGCCTCCAATGGACATGTATGGACCCCCAGGCTACCCGGGCCTTCCACCACACATTGCGAGTATGTCAGATTGGTTTGTACATCGGCATGTGTTCTTTTCATAGATGATCAACATGTGTTGCTTACAGTGGACCTGAACTGAAGATTTGTGATCTTGTAGGGATCTAGAAATGGTGATTGAGCCCTAATGGATTTACCTTTTTTTGTTTAATTCCTCATTTAAAGCACGTTCTGTGCCTTGAGCCTCATAGCACGAGATGACCTCAATGCGGCTGCCTGTGACTGATAGTCTCGTGATATTTAGTGATGTCACTATTGTGCTGCTCATGACGCCTTGCTGGAGTGGAAGCTGTACCTGAGGACATGAAGTGCAAAAATCTCTCTGCATTCAGTCTATGGATCTGTGCTTTCTCCACCCCCGCTGCTGCTTCTATATCATTACCCCTCCAGTCATCAAGGGGGAAGCTTTCACATGGGGAAGCAAAGCCCCGCCTCTACCAAGATGGCTGATTCCACATAGAGAAACAGTACATTAGTAAAAGGGGAAAAGATCGGCTGTAGGGAGCCTAGAGGCCAGTGGTGGCGAACCTTGGCACTCCAGCTGTGCCAAAACTACAAATCCCAAGATGCATCTGCCTCTGGGAGTTATGTATGTGGCTGTCAGAGCCTTGCAATGCCTCATGGGACTTGTAGTTCCAAAACAGCTGGAGTGCCAAGGTTCGCCATCACTGCTATAGGCAATCCTGTTGACTAGTACTTTGCCCGGTTCTTAAAATGCAGGTTAGGGATGCACCGATGCAGTTACCGAGTATTTGGGCGAGTACTAATGCGCCGATGCCTAGCCAGATACCTGAACTTCCGGTATCGGGAAGCTAGGCGGCGAGTCATTATACGGTGCCCGGCTTCCTGATTGGCCGGGAAGCTGGCTCCTTGCTCCCTCGTAACCAGGCCACCCGGCTTCCTGATTAGCAGGGAAGCCATCTCCATGCTTCCTCATCACCAGGTGGTGCAGCATGGAGCCGGCTTTCTGGCAAATCAGGCAGCTGGGTGCCGTGTAATGACTCACTGCCCGGCTTCCTGATTTGTCGAGAAGCTGGCCAATCAGCTTTCTGAATGGACGGAAAGCTGGCTCCATGCTTCCTCGTCACCTGGTGATGAGGAAGCATGGAGACCGCTTTCCTGCTAATCGGGAAGCCAGGTGGCAAGTCTTTACACGCCGCACGGCTTCCTTGATGGGACTTTCGGTATCGGTGCATACCTAGTTCAGGTCCTCTTTAAGTGAATGTGACTGTCTTAAAAGACGCCTATCCTTTACCTGCTCTATCCAAAACGATATAAAAGAAAGTTTGGCTTTATTAAAAGTCCATTATCACCTTTGTAAAATGTATAACATATTTTCTTTCTTTTACCTCCTAGTGAGAGGTCCTCTGCCACCACCTCTGCAACGCTACCCTTATGCGATGCCTCCTGAAGCCTTCTACCCCCCACAGCACCTACATCATCATCCTCCTCCCCAAAATGACCATCCTTCAGAGATGCAGCCTGCGCCTCCACCACCCAGCGACTCCGCCTCCCACAACCTCTCCCAAACACAAACTTGACAACGCTCTGCCAGGAAAAGACTTTTTTTCCCCCCGAATGATCTCTAGGATATTATATTTATAGTTTTTGGTTCAGAAGATATTTTAGCATCTGTTTGAAAGGAAAAGTGATAATTTAACTGTGAATAACGAGTCTTAAGTGAATGGCAAGCATGTGGGATTTTAATTTGACCGGTTTGTTTAGAATGTAAACGAGCAAAGCATTTTGTTTATTTTTAAGAGTTTTGATGAACCTATTTTCACTAGCTTCCATTTTATGTTCTGATTTCTTCTTCCATTGACTTCAATGAAGATTCCCCAATACATCGTTGCTTGAGCTGGTCTCTACCCATCATCTATCCAGATCGATTTCTTAGCCTGACGTTGAAGGGTTTTAACTGGATGCCGTTGGACTGGATGTGCGGGGCTAGCCTGGACTAATGACCTTTGGGCGCTTTCCAAACTACAAGTACGGGTGAAAGTCAGCTGTGGAGTGTTTTCCAGGTCCCGAGCCGTGGCATTGCCTCAACACTTTCCTTGTCCCTGAATACTAACTGCATGTCCGCTTAGGTTAACGTGTTTCTGGGGACCCGCCCACTTCATCAGAACCTACTCGTACTTGCCCAAATGCTCCCGATACCGGAACCTCCGGTATCAGGAAGCTGTGTGGCGAGTCACTATACGCAGCCCGGCTTTCTGATTGGCCGAGAAGCTGGCTCCATGCTGCCTTGTCACCAAGGGAACATGGAGACGGCTTCAGGCCAATCAGGAAGCCAGGCGGTGTGTACTGACTCGCACCCCGGCTTCCTGATTGGCTGGGAAGCTGGCTCCATGGTCCCTCATCACCAAGTGACAAAGGAAACATGGAGCCGGCTTCTGGGCCAATCAGGAAGCCAGGTGGTGTGTAACGAGTCACCCCCCAACCCTGGCTTCATGATTGGTCGGGAACATGGCCATTCAGGAAGCCCTGCGGATTCCCGATTGGCCAGAAAGCCGGCCCCGTGCTTCCTCGTCACCTGGCAAAGAGCGAGCATGGAAATGGCTTCCTTAATGGGACTTCCGGTATCAGGATCGGCGAATACCAAAAATATATATTTGTGGTCAGAGTTACTTAGGCTTCCGAACCTACATGACCCCTACTGATACCAACCTGCTGTGTGCCATGATTTTGTGGTCAGCGTGCCAAATAAGTGGGCACGCTCTAGTGAAATGATAGAACCTGGGGAAGGGCTGGAGGGTCAAGCGCGACCTCGCTGTGACGTGCCCTGAAGCTCCCTGTCTCCCTTCTTAAGGGGAGGAGAGCCGCCGCAACTCCTCCCACAAACACGGCCAAGATACCTTGGCCTATTACATATATATTGGAACTCTACCGAAAAACCTGTATCGGTGCATCCATCCGTACTACACTGGCCCCTGGCAGCTCAGCCACCAGAATTGATTCACTTTTTTTGAAGCACCTTTTCATTTTATAAGCGTTCAGTGTTTTGGGGGTGGAGTCTATCAGCATGGTACATCTTGCCTTGGGAATCTCTACACTCTTCCTTGCAGAAGCGCTCCAAGTCTGTCAGATTGTGAGGGCATTTCCTGTGCACTCTGCAGGTCCCCCCCAAAGATTTTCTATCGGATTCAGGTCTGGGCTCTGGTGGGGCCGTGCCAAAACTTTGATCTTCTGGTGAAGCCATACTGTTGTTGATGTGGCGGTATGCTTTGGGTCGTCATGCAGAAAGGTGAAGTTCCTCTTCATCTTAGAAGAGGCCTGAAGGTTTTGTGCCAAAATTGACTGATATTTGGAACTGTTCACAAGTCCCTCCACCTTGACTAAAGCCCCAAAGCACAATGCTGCCGCCACCACCATCCCTCAGTGTGGGCATGGTGTTCTTTTCTCTATCCTCCATTGAGGGACACCACTCTGGAGACTGCAGAGTTATGCTGCTTACTTTCATCTTGGTTTGATTTTTATCACATCTCAAACACCGGACATTTTTACAGGGGTGTGAAGACTATTTATATCAACCGTATGCCACAGGAAATGATCGAAGACTACAGGCACATGAGATGGTCAGAGTGCAAACATACTCTAAGAAACATTGGAACATGTATCAGGAGATAGCCAGAGACTGGGGACATGTTACTGGTAGAGATCACGGCTATTAGTCTCTTTACAAATCAAAATGGTTCCAAGCGCACTAGGCCGAACACAGGAACCAAGTATCAGGTGTGCATGGGTGACACCGAGGAACCGGTTCCTTATCTGCTGGGTAGAGAATAGTCAGCCTATCCCAGCTCAGCTGGTAGGTAAGGGGGGGTCCCCCTGCAGTGGGAAGACACTGAGGGGGTACCATGAAGGACTTTACAGGAACCGAGGGCAGGGGATTTCCCTGAGTTGTGGCCAGGATGGGGCAAAGCTCCAGAGACAAAGTTGACACATGGACTGGAGCAAGGGATCAGGGGTGAGAGGAACCCAAAGAGACTGGGGAAGGTGCATTAATCTGTGCAGTAGGACAGGGATATAAGGAGCAGCTGAAATGGGCTCCAGAGGCAACGAACCTAAAGGGGCGCACTCTGTATCTGAATATCAAACGGGCAAACTCCCTAAAGGACCTGCCAGGGTACACCATCAGCCCCCCCCCAGTTCTTGTAGAAGTTACCTTCACGTAGAAGGCTTTTCAGAGGGTCTAGCCCAGGGGTAGGCAACCTCGGCACTACAGCTGTTCTGAAATCACAATCCCGTAGAGTCAGGCGATGGGGGGGGCCTACAGCAGGAGATGGTAACGAAGGGATTCAGCAGACCTCTCCCTAGACTGCATACGCTCTGGCTTCCTGTGGAATCCTTGATAACGGTAAAAAGTGCAGGACCAAAGAGAGACAATGTACCTTAAAGGCCGAGTCAGATGCTCTTTGGAAATGGCATCCGCGTCCACCAGAGTGCTCTGCACATCTGCATGGAGTTCAGACCCATGCAGGACACAAGTTTACATTCCTGTAACAAGCGATAACTAAAGCACAAAGCTCCGGCCAACTATTTCAAGGAATGAATTACGAAGGGGTGGATAGAGGGGGTCTAACCCATCCTGCCGTGGTTTGACAGATTAAGGTGATAGCAAAAACAGGAAGGAGGGCAGAACCTTCCGGAGCAAACTGGTATTTTAGAAGATTCCAACTAGAATGCTTAAAACATAAGCAAGCCCTCTACCCGTTCAGCAGTTGTCCTGTTAAGTTGCGTCACTGGTGGAACAACAGTGGGTGTAGACCCCAGATAAACTGTTCCAACACTCAGGTGGGACCCAGGACCCTTCAAGCCTGCATAGAGGAATACTTCCAATAGCGGGAGCAGTGGAAAGATCTTTGCAGCTATAGAAGCTCTGAAAGACTCCAGGCGGATCCCCCAAATGCAGGGGAGCCCATACTCTTCAGAGATAGACTTTTAGGACTCTGATATCGTCACAGGTACAGATGGCCCAGTCTGTTCGAAGGCCTCCGGAAGGTCAGAGACCGACTCTGCAGCGACACACTGACATTGGGGTATACGTTGAGCCCCTGCGAACAGTGTCCACAACATCTAGGGCACGTGTGTCAAACTCAAGGCCCAGGGGCCGAATCCGACCCCCCAGGCCATTTCCTAGACTTCTACTTTCAGATCTAGGTATTAAGTTATTACTAAAACCAGTGATAATGGAATGCAGAGGCAATTATGATAAAGATTAGATACATTTATATAGTCTTACAGATACAACCGGCAACCATAATGTTGATGCGGCTCACGATTAAATTGAGTTAGACACCCCTGATCTAGGGTGAAGAGGGATGGGGACTCTGCCTCATCCAGATGGGCTGAAGGAAACGCCATGTGGACCCTTTAACTACAGGGTCAGTAGATTCCAGATATCAGTTCCCTCAGAGGATACGGAGTAGGAGCAGATGCCCCCACAATGGTAGGAGTCTTTAAACTGGGGTAACCCATAGCAGCGGGACTGTCCCCTCTACATGCAGACATGTGTCCACGGCACCGTGATGCAACTGGGCCCAAAGCGTGAGGCAGGGCATCACTTACAAATCCATCAGCTGGTGCCAATGAGGGGCGGGAGGATAACGGTGACCAGGTCACTAGGAACAGCCAGAGATCAGAGTTCCACATGCTGCTTTGCCAATCATTAAAGCATCGGGACTCATGAGTCCCTACAGCAACGGACGTGGAGGTCGGCGCGCAAACCAGCGTGGGCTGCGGTTACCTTTTTATTTTTACGACGGGATCACTTTGTTCCGTGTCTGCCCAAAACCTATGCACACGGAAGGGAGGAATTTATTAAGACTGGAGCAGCTGTGCACGGCAACCAATCAGCTTCTCTCTTTGATTTTCAAATCTTAACTTTAACAAAGTGGAGAGAGAAGCCGATTGGTTGCCATGGGCAACTGCTCCAGTTTTGATAAATTCCCTCCCACACTCGTTTTATTATTCCCACATTCCCAAAAAGTAAAAAAAAAAAAAGAAGTACATTCCGCTTGGTATTTCAATGCTTTATTCATTGATTAAAAGAATATACATTTAACATAAACCAAACATCATCAGTCATTGCTAACATTCAGCTGGCTTTCTTGTATTCTGTCAGGAGTCCCCCCAAATTTTTCCCCTGTTTTTTTTTTTTTTAAGATTTTGATTGCATTTATAAGATAAAATATCACCACATCTGGCATGTCACTCCTACAACACTGTGCCAGTGGATCCTCTATTTCCAGGAACAGGGCAAGCTCACTCTGCCCTAGCTGCCAAAAGAACAGAACGCGGCGGCGGCGGCGGGCCTATGCCGAGACTGTAGTCCCTCCCCAGCTAGTGCACAGCCAGCAGTCGGGTCCCTGGTTCTATACTGATGTACGTATAAAATTAATCGGCTTGGTACGTGTTCACTGGAGACAAAACAGTGCACACCTGTCAAAGAGCTTATTATTTAAGTTATTTATTTCGTTTTTTTTTCTTTAATATAAGATGGTAAAACCATTGTTGTAAAACACATAGAAACCTTTAACCCATAAATAGAATCTTATCTGGACATCTGTTGCATAAAATGGATTCCCCCGGAAAAGCTCACCAAAGAGTTAGCAGCCAGTTCCTCAG